TTCACCTTGAAGGGCTCAATCTGCGGATGTGCAATCTCAATGGTGCCATAGGGAAACATCTGAGTGACCATGAATGGTCCAGACCACCGGGATCGCAGCTTTCCTAGAAAGAGTCGCATGCGGGAGTTGTATAGAAGAACACGATCGCCCACCTGAAACTCATTTAAGACGAGCATTGTGGAGACGCTTGGTTTGCTCCTTACAATATGGTGTTCTCATAGGCGTGATAACGCCACTCTTCCAGCTCCACCAGCTGCATTTTCCGCTCAGTACCTGCAAGACTCAGATCAAGGTTTAACAAATTAAAGGCCTAGAAGGCCTTGTGCTCTAGTTCGACGGGCAAGTGACAGGACGATATGGAGTAGTACCAATCGACGTCTTGTAGGCTTTCCTATACGCCCACATAGCATCATCAAGCTTGCTGGACCAATCCTTGCAGGATTGATCCACCGTCTTTTCAATGATCCATTTTAGTTCGCAGTTCGTCAGCTCGGCTTGACCATTTGTTTGGGGATGCTAAGCCACCGACACCTTGTACTTGACATCATGGCGAGAGAGGATTTTAGTGAATTTCCCTTGAGCCTCTATCACTAATGATGGCTCGAGGTGTCCCGAACCGGGAATAGAGCTGGTTAAGAATTGAATAGACACGTCTTGCATCATTGGTGGGCATGGCTTGAGCTTCTGTTTACCTCGAGACGTAGTCCACATCAACCAAGATATAGAGTTTACTGAATGAAGGAGGAAAATGACTCATGAAGTCGATGCCCCAGACATAAAAAATCTCACAAGTCACAAATGACTTCTGGGGCATCTCATCACAAACAGAGATGTTACCTGACCGCTGACAGCGATCGCACTGGCATGCGAATGTATCAGCATCATTGAAGAGCGTGGTCCCTCGTGACAGTGACACAAGATATCTCCCATCTCATGCTCCATCACACATCGTCGAATCTCGCCATCTGCTCCGATCCTGAATAGGTATGGATCCTCCCAGAAATAGAACTTGAGGTCGAAGAAGAATTTGCGCTTAGCTTGAGTAGCCATAAGCTTAGGTAACTGCTTGCCCACTAGATAATTGGCAAGATGAGAGTACCATGGGGCGACACTCTCCACCAAGCACAACGCCAACAATCGTTCATCTGGGAAAGAGTCATTGGTCTCTTCCATGAAGTTGTCCACCGGAGAGGCTTCCAACAATGAAAGATGATCTGCAGCAACGTTCTCGACTCATTTCTTGTCCCAGATCTAGATATCAAACTCCTGCAGTAGCAGGATCCAGCGGATGTGTCGAGGCTTAGCGTCAGTCTTGGTCATCAAGTAGTGGATGGCAGTGTAGTACTGTATAGACCACGACATGAGAGAGCACCAGGTACGGTCGAAACTTGTTGAAAGCATACACAACTGCAAGCAACTTCTTTTTTGTTGTAGTTCTCCTGTGCATCGTTCAAAGTCTTCGACTAATAGTAGATAGGCTGGAAATGCTTAGCGCGTCTTTGACCAAGAACAACTTTGACCGCGTAATCACTCACATTGCACATCAGCTCAAATGGAAGAAATCAATCCGGAGTCACCATGATGGGTGCATGGGTTAGCTTCTCCTTCAATGTCTCGAACGCAGTTGTGCACTCTGGAGTGAAGTGGAACGGTGCGTCTTTATTTAGCAGCTTGGTCAATGACAAAGCTATCTTCGAGAAATATTTGATGAAGCATCGGTAGAAACCTGCATGAGCTAGAAAATTGCGGATCCACTTAACAGAAATAGGAGGAGGTAGCTTGCTGATCGTCTCTAGTCAATGCATACACGCCATCCAGTCACCGTCCGCATCAGGATCAACTCGTTCTTCTTGTTCGCGACCACATACATCCCGCCTTTCTTCGGAACCACCTGAGTAGGAATGATCAACTTGCTATCATATATAGCGAAGATGATCCATGCATCCATCAACTTCACAATCTCTGCCCTGACCACTGCCTCCAAGTTAGGAGTCAACCTCCGCTGCGGCCGCTGGACTGGCTTAACCTCAACTTCCATCAGAATGGGCTAATGCCTCTGATATTCATGATCTTCCACGCCATGGCCCGGGCGTACTTCTTCAACAGAGCCACAAGACTGCTCTTTTGCTCAGGGGTCAGTTCCGAGCTGATGATGACTAGGATATTTGGATAATTTATAATTGGAGAAAATTCATAAGATATTTGGTTATTAATTTGAGAATTTTTGGGTTGTATTATTAATTTCAAAAATTGATAAAACAACGTATTTAATTGATTAAAAATGCTATTTGAGCTATTTAGTTAGATTCGATAATTTTTATAGAAACTAGATAGTTGTATGATTATGCAGAATTTATATTGAGATTTTTAGAGTCAATTTACTCATTATAAAAATATATAGTCTGCTTTAATTAATTAGAGTACTGTACGCTGATTTTTATTTAATTTGATTTTTTTTGTAACTAGAGTCATGGATGTAAGTTAGAAAATTGAGAAATAGAACTAGAGTCATGTATGTATGCTAAATTAAATAGGAAAAAGGGGAACATTAATTTGCAATTTATGGTTAATAGTTTTGACAAATATTTTGAGTTATTTAAAAGATTAATGTGGAGTTTTAGAAATGAAGAGACTTTTTAAAAAATTTATGAGGATTGTTATGAGATTTCATGATAGTTGAAGAATATGTTTATGAGCATTGAGTATTTGATGACGACAATTAGTGTATCCACATTAACAGTTAACTTCTTGTAGATAACTTTCTCTCTCCACTTTTGTTCACTCTGCCTTCTCTCTAGAGGCTCCCTCTCATTATGAGTTTGGGGCCTGCTGCCGGCGTTTCTCCGACGACCGGCGGCAGCCCTCCACCCCTTCTTTTCGTTGTTTTTCTTCTGTTGATTCCTGTATTTTTTCTTCTTTCAACGCCTTTTGATTTTCTTTTGCCTTTGGGCTCGGTTTTCGCCTGTGTTGGGTGGTTGTCTTCCCCGTTGTTGGGTTCCTCTTCTTCCCCTGTGTTGGGATGGTTCTTTTGCCCTCCGATTTGTTGGCTCAGATTTGGAGATGATGGTCCGATCTAAGAAGCGATGGAGGCCGGATTTGTTTCAGATCTGGCTTGTCTTTTCCTCTCCTCTCTCTAGTCTACCTCCTTGTCTCACCTTGCAGATCTAGGTGTTTCGGAGATGCAGCCTTTGGCGTCGGACTCAGGGTGGAGAGCTTGAAGACAAAAGTCCTTCTTCCTCTGGTGCTTTTGTCGGCGACCGGTCGTCTTTTGTGGTCCTCTAGTCCTGTTCGGTGGGCGACAATGATGACTGGCCCGGGGTGGGATGGTGGAGATCTCTCTTCCTCGTCCTTCCATCCGGGTTTAGCGAAAAGGGTTCCTCGGAGTTGGAGCGCGGCGGCGGTTGCTGGTGGCGGCGGTGGTGCTGGGTGGCGCGACGGCTGTGGCGAGGGTGTCTTTTGGCTGCGGCGATGGAGGCTTCAGAGGAGGCAGATGGAGCAACTAGGGTTTGGAAAACCTCACTTGTTCTTGGGTCCGGGTCTGGGCCCTATTGGGTGCCGGCCCATTTGTGTTTTTCGGGCCTTTTGTTTGGTTTTCTGATTCTTGTTGTTTTTTTTCTGCTTGTGCTTTTCCATATGGGCTTGGCCCGATCGCTTTCTTAATGAACAACTCTTTCAAAAAAAAAAAAAGAGTATTTGATTAAACCTTTTACGTATTTGTTTGACGATTAGTCATACTTCACCATTAAATAAATTAAGGCGATAAGAGTAAGAGAAAGTCTCAAGGAATGATATGTATTATGTAACCTCGCTTAGCTAGCCACTAGTTAGATGGATCCCTATCAGATGGTGATACATTTTACGCTAGTGGGTGAGACATGATACCAGACAATGATGAGTTCTGTGATTTCTATTGCCTAGGTTTATGTGTACTACCGGGTGGTGATATGTTTCGCAGCAGACATACCCTAGTTTGACACTGGATGGTGATATGTTTTGCGGTGGTCAAACCCATGTGAGACTCTCCGAGGAGAGTCAGGTTTAAGTGAGTAAGACTAATAAGTGGATTTGATTTGATGAGTACTCTGGTTGAACTTTTGACCCTTAACCCATTTGTCTTATTCATGTCCATGTCGCCGGCCTAAACTCTCCAAGGCTAATCCGCTTGGGCTGAGCGGCTGGGACCGGAAGCCTTATTGGAGTGTGGCGGGCGTGGTTTCATTTACTGTCCAATTAAAACCGCCTGAAGTCAAAGCCCAAGACTAGGGATGGCAACAAAATCCAAACCCACGGGTACCCACCTGACCCAACCCGGTCAACGCGGATAAAATCCGTGTTGATAGGTTTTGGGCCGGGTTTGGGTTTAAACCCGTTCACTATTTACCGGGTTGAGTTGGGTTTGGGTTTAGGTAAACCCGACCCATGGGTACCCGCCCACACCCATATAATTAATTTTTCGGTATATTTAGTACTAAACAACTAATCTTATTTATGTTTGTGGAGACATGTCTAATTTTTTCTTTCTAATTGTGCAGAATGAAGTTGATGTTATCGAGTGGAGAGTGAAGAAATTTAATTGAAAGGAAGAAGCTTTCAATTAATCATGTTATTAATAGATTATTTGTGATTTGCTTCAATTTTCTTGAGTTTTCTAGGTTGGCGTTGAACAATTTGTATAGTTAATTTGTGATTTGCTTGAATATTCTAGAATGGTGTTTTATATATGGATAATTTGTATTGAGAGATTGATATTTGACTTTAATTTTGATAAAAACTTGTTATTGTAAATTTTTTACGACAAAAACCCGTGGGTATCCATGAACCTGCGGATACCCAGCGAGTTGGGTTGGATTTGAGTAAGTTCTACTCCGAATTTTTTTTACGGATAAAACCCATAGATTTGGGTTTGGTAAAACCCGATCTAACCCGACCCATTGCCATCCTGTTACCAGGACCAAGATGCCATATCATAACACCGAGGAACATAAATTCAGATCCGGATTCCTGCTTCTTCTTTCTCTCCATAAAATTTTCTTTTTTCCCTTTTTCATTTTGCTTTACAGTCGCCATCGGAATCGAAAGAAAAAACGGCACCAGGTATAGTTGTTTGATTTCTCGGCTATCTGACAATTCCTCTTATCTTTTTCTGGGTCGATCTTTGCAAGTTCATAAATTTTCATAGATCGGATATCGAATTTTTGAACCAGAACCGATTTGAGAGGATCCCTTTACGATGATTGCTTGTTTGTGGAGTTCTCCTTCTGTGATTTGATAAACCCTTTATATTGTTCTGAATTCATTCCGGCTGTAGGAAATCGAGGCTTTATCGCCAGCTTTACATTACAATTTCTGATTGATGAAATATAATCCTGAGCCGATTCTTCTGGATTTTTCTTAATCAATTTTGAGGCTTTTCTTCTGATTGATACATGCATTGATCATTTGTGTGCAGATGATCATCATCGGTGGTCTTCTGTTCTTGTCTCCTATCTTATTTTGTTCCTTTTTTTTTTAATACCTCCAGAGCGTTCAGGGAAGGCTGAAGGATGTTGGAGCAGTTGCTCATATTTACTAGAGGAGGATTGATCCTATGGACGTGTAAAGAGCTTGGAAACGCTCTCAAGGGATCACCAATTGACACCCTCATTAGGTTCTGCCTTCTGGAGGAGCGATCTGGCTCCAACTCGTATAACTATGATGCTCCGGGTGCTGCCTATACCCTCAAATGGACCTTCCACAACGAACTTGGCCTTGTGTTTGTCGCCGTATATCAGCGGATACTCCGGCTGCTGTATGTGGATGAACTGCTTTCCATGGTGAAGCGTGAATTCTGTGAGATATACGATCCCAAGCGGATAGATTATAATGATTTCGACGAAACTTTTAGGCAGCTGAGGAAAGAGGCAGAGGCTAGGACTGAGGATTTGAAGAAATCGAAGCAGGTGGGTAGGCCTGTGAATGATTCTAAGAAACAGGGACATGTGAAGAAGGGTGGGGCTGATGGAGGAAACAAGAAAAAAAGCGAGGCTAAAGGTGGCAGTGATGATGATGATGATAATAGGGCAGGTCATAATAAGTTAGAGAATGGACATTCTAATGGCCATCATATTGAAACTGATGGTTCTAGGGGATTAGCTATTGGTAACGGTAAAGAAAATGCTAGTGTCAATGTTGGAGCTTTTGATGTCAGTAAGCTGCAGAAGCTTAAGAACAAAGGAGGGAAGAAAAATGATACTGCTGTTAGTGATAGTAAGGGTGCCAAAGCGGACCCAAAGAAAAAGGCAACAAAAAAGAATAGGGTTTGGGATGATTCACCTTCACAGTCGAAACTGGACTTCACTGATCCCGTGGAAAATGGAAATGAGAATATAGATGTTGTGGCAGCTAACCAGGGAGAAAGCATGATGGACAAAGAGGAGGTTGTTAGCAGCGATAGTGAGGATGACGAAGATGAGGTTGGCAAGGGGAGTGCACCTAACTCTAAGAAGAAGGGATGGTTTTCATCTATGTTCCAGAGGTAAGTTGGCGTGGTTCAATGTTTTATAATTAAACCACGTGTGTCATTCGAAGTTGATCTATTGAAGTATAATTAGGGCATGGTATATAAACCTTTCTTATGCCCTATCATGGAACGATTTAGCTATACCCCTCCCAATATCTTTGAAAGTATTTCAGCCCCATAATTTTAATGTCTGGGGAATTTCAGTCAACTTAATTGTTCGTATTTGGTAGTTACAGTTTCACCAAAGCTTGAACACATGACTGCATCGCTATGTGGTGTCATCTGTTAGAAGCGTTTTCTCTGTATAGAGATGCTAAAAAGGTGAAACCTTGAAAATTGGTACTAAGCAATTCGGTTCATGTATTTTCTTTCAGCATCGCCGGAAAAGCAAATTTAGAGAAGTCAGATCTGGAACCAGCTCTAAAGGCTCTCAAGGACAGGCTCATGACCAAGAATGTGGTATGTTACTTGACCAAGAAGAAATTCTCTTTATTTATTGTATGTCGTCTTGTGGATGATTACTTGAAACCATATCCTCTGTTCTTATGGATTTCTACCTACTTGGTATCAAGGCGGAAGAGATAGCTGAGAAGCTTTGTGAATCAGTTGCAGCAAGCCTGGAAGGTAAAAAGCTTGCATCTTTCACAAGGATATCTTCAACTGTCCAGGTGTGCTTCCTTGCAACATTTGTACTTTTATTTTACAGATACATTGGTTTAGAAATCTTCAAGTCTTGATGTGGGAATTTATGATTTACAGGCAGCTATGGAAGATGCACTTGTTCGGATTCTGACTCCTAAGCGGTCTATTGACATACTGAGGGATGTACATGCTGCTAAGGAACAAAGGAAGCCATATGTTGTTGTCTTTGTGGGTGTCAATGGGGTTGGAAAATCAACCAACCTAGCTAAGGTATGGCTTGATAACGCCACTCGGCATATTTATCTCATGAGGTGCTGCTCTCTCTCTCTCTCCTTACAGCTGTTATGTGTAATCTTGCAGGTTGCATATTGGCTTCAGCAACATAATGTCAGTGTTATGATGGCTGCTTGTGATACATTTCGGTCTGGAGCTGTTGAACAGCTGAGAACTCATGCACGCAGACTTCAGGTGGAGAATTGATTGCGCATTTTTTGCTTTGTCATAGATAAATTGGTTTTTGCCAAGTCCAATCTCACTTCTGTCTTTCTAGATTCCTATATTTGAGAAGGGCTATGAAAAGGATCCTGCTATGGTGGCGAAGGAAGCAATTCAGGAGGCAACTCGCAATGGTTCTGATGTGGTTCTTGTGGACACAGCTGGCCGGATGCAGGTAACTAATGATATGCAGAAATTTCCTCACTTAGCTAGATCGTCTCCCTTCACAGTAGAAGGGGACTAGTTGCGACAGGAAAGAAGGAACATGGTGTTGTGCTTCTCACCTATGCAAAGCCTAGCACTTATACAATAGGAATCCCTGGCTAGAGCATAGTGTGGAAGCTTTTAGGGTAGGTTTCACAGAACAGGTGACTTGAGAAAATAAATTAATAAGAGAAGGATGCTTCGGTTCCTGTGATGTTGGCCGATGAGCTAGCTTTCAGTTTGCACTTTGTTTCTTGTTCTACTACGAAGGGAAATCTTGAGGTTGATCTTTTCTTCACAAATTCCATTGCTAAGATAGTATAGATGTTTTATTTTAGCCTTTACTGGAAAATAAGAGTCGTTTATTTATAACTTTGAGTAGAACTGAAGTGTGTTTGGATTGTTTTGGTAAAATACACTTTGGGCGTTTAGTTTTAATCTGAAACAAAAGCATCCTTGGGAGTTGGGATACTATTTTAAAAGGTTTGCACACATTTTCAGGACAATGAACCATTGATGAGGGCACTGTCAAAGCTCGTTAACCTCAACAATCCTGATCTTGTGCTCTTTGTTGGGGAGGCATTAGTTGGAAATGATGCAGTTGATCAACTGTCAAAGTTCAACCAGGTTCAGTTACCTGCCTCGGTCAACTGTTTTTGTACAAATCCCTTTTTTCTCCATGACAATATGACTAACCAACAATTCTTGCTCTTTTCCAGAAACTGGCTGATCTCTCCACTTCCCCCAATCCGAGACTAATTGATGGGATCCTGCTTACTAAGTTTGACACCATTGACGATAAGGTCAGAAAACCCTCTTGATTTGATGCCAATCAGCTCCTCCCATTGATCAAATAACCAACTTCTCAATCACATACGCATCAAAATCCATATACCACCTTACTTTATCTTTTCTATATTTTCAAATTCACATATATTAGTAAATCTCATATATCCTTTCGCAATCGTTTACTTTCCACCAGTAACTGCGTCTTGTGGACCCCGAATCCTTGGTAACATGTTCTTGCTTTTCACCAACAGGTTGGAGCTGCGCTTTCCATGGTTTACATCTCTGGAGCACCAGTGATGTTTGTGGGTTGCGGACAGTCTTACACAGACCTGAAAAAGTTGAACGTGAAAACCATTGTTAAGACCCTTCTGAAATGAGTCAACAGTAGTAGTACTTTCTACTGGTGTTTCTTGCCCGCTTTTGGTGGTGGAATGAATATTTTTCATTGCCCCGCCTTTCGCTCGCTTTCACTTTCGGATGAATATGAACTGAAAACATGTTGGGTTCTCTGCCAGACTTGTGTTTTCTCTTTCTAGCTTGATGCCCGTTGATGGTGTGGGATATTCGTTCTGCTGGTGGTGAACCTGAAAATATGCCCCTTTGTTGTGCAGTTGTGCTCTTCAGTCGTTCCATTTCGCTTTAATTACATTGATCTGCTAATAGATGGCCTACTTGTCATTCTTTCGTAGTCTTCTAATCTTCAATTTTGTCAGGGGAATTTGTTGGCTTAGCAATTGCTCAGATGGTTATGTCCGTTACCATCTCCATCCTATGGGGCATTTTGCTAGCAACTGATAGGGACGTGGATGACTAAAAATTGTTAAGTGATAAATTGTTAAAATTGTTAAAATTGATGATGTGACTTTAGGGAACACATGGATGAAGATAGCCTTATGTATCTTTAAACTAGACTTAGAGTTTGTGCACTTTTCCCTTTTGGTGCTAGCCTTTGGCCAGGGTAACATTTATGTTTCTTTTTTGTAAGGCCTTTGATCTTTGTGTCATGTTTGATTTCACTTTCCTTGCCACAGAATACTTAGCAACTCTTAGTTATTTGGCCAAGATAGCTAGTTTCCTAGTTTAATTCGACATTCCTTGGCCTATCGTCTTAGATAGTGGAGTTTCTCCACCTGTTGCAACCTCAACCTCCTTACGGTGTATGAGCACGCTTTTACACATTTGCATTCCTTTCGGTCAATCTTGATATACGTCTAGGCGGAGCAATACCCGTATAAATTCTTCTTTCATTGAAACAAACCAAATTTTACCGTTTTGCTATTTACATCTGTAGTTTTTTAGCTTTTAAACTGCAAACCATGGATTAGGTAGATAACAATTCAAGCAATTGAAGTAGGAGTACATGGACCGCCTCGGGTTGACAATTAAAACGCTTGCCCTTCTATTACACCCTTCTAGAGTTTGCACTTGGGCTTTAGTCGTAAATTAATTGTGTAGTTAGGAACGAGTCAATAACCCTTTCTTCCTCTCTTGTGTTTGTGCTTGAATGTCAAATCTCTAGATCAATGAAGACCTACACATTGAGTTCCATTTTCCCCTCGACTACATCAACCCCCAATGATAACAATTCGCAAACCTAACCTAGAATTCCCACATTAAGGAAAATGTGTCTCTATAGTGTGGGGGGATGCATTGCATGTTTTGAATGAGTTCATGAATGTTAACCAACTCTATTGATCACTTCCTTGATGATGAATGAAGGAGGTTTATGATTGCATGTGGAATGTGGTTGATTGATTGAATGATTTGATGTAGTTGAAAGGCATATAAGACTTACTTGGAACCTTATTGTATGCCCATTTTTTTTCAAATTTGAAGGTTCCAAGTAAGCCCTTTAGCATGTCGTGTGATCACTTACTTTGAATCGTTGTATCTTTATCTCTTTTTCTCGAACAATGTTAGAAGCCAGAAATCGATCATAAAATGGCAGAGAGGGAAAAAAATATAAATGAAATTTATCTACTAGTGACCGATAAGTAGTTGTTTTGTCACGGTATTTTCAGCCAACATCGAGCCGAACTAATTTTTTGGATTCGGACCAACCGAAAGAAAGTTCAATTTGAAATCGATAATAAGAGAAGGCTCGATTCGGTTTTAGGTTGAGTTCAGTTTGGTTTGGCCGAAACAGAGCAATCTATTTTCAGTTCTTGTTGTTTCGTATAAAGATGAAGTCTTTGCAATAGTCTAAAATAAAGCTGGGAGATGGTTAGGAGAAGGATTTTGGGCGCTCATTATTTCTACACTTGTTGTCTATGTTGTTGGATTAAGTCATCATTTGAGTAGCAGGATTTGTGCAGTTCTCTAGTATTGGGTTTGGCATTTAACCTGTATTCCGCTCTTGCTCCTCTTTTTGTTTTTTTTTTCTTTGATTTTTTTTGACAAAAAGATAATCTTATATTGATTAGAAAGAGATCGAACAAATACAACCAAGAAAGGAAATAAAAAAGTGATATGTGGTCAGATACAAAAAGGGCATTTCTAGCCACTAAGTGGGCTACCCGATTGCTATTCCGACCTACAAATCGTACATTAAATACATGAAAATTTCCCAGCAGACCACAGACTTCCACAAGAATGGCTCCGAAATGATTATCTTGAGCTCCAATCAAATTTACCTTATCAATGACCAAATTTGCGTCTCCTTCAAACTGAACTTGCGAGAGACCACAATCCAGACACCACTGGATGACCTCGCAGAGCACTAAAAATTCAAATGTAAGCGGGTCATTGATATCCGCAATAGGAAGAACTCGAGCCAAGATAATCGAACCACTTTGATCCTTGATAATTATTCCCCCTGTCGAATGTGAACCTCTCTTCGTGGCACCATCCCACATGCAGGTGACCATGGTCGGGGCTGACACATCCACATTTGCCACCGGGGACACAGGAAACGAAATCACTCTGTCCATCGGTACCCCCACCCATTCTTGGACTTGTTGATGATATTGTCGCATCAAAGACATAACACATAACTGTTTCCCCTTAAAGACAACCCAATTTCTGGACTTCTAAATACGCCATAGGGCCGCAACCACAACTAGGGGTAGGATTCGGTCGGTAAACAATTTACCGTTTACCGAATTTACCGGTTTCGGTATACCGAAGTTGGCCAAACTGGTTACCGATTACCGATACCGATTTGTAACCGGTTTACCGATTACCGAATTACCGGTAAACGGTAACAAACCGGTATTACCGAAATACCGTGAGAAGCGATTTCGGGCGATATTTTCGGTCGGTTTACCGAATATTTACCGAACCGAATCTCTGGAAGTGGGGTGATGTTGTAATATTTCGATTTTTTTGAGTTTTTTTCATCATTTTAGTAATTAATAATTTATTATTAACTCTTATTTACAATATTTTTGAGGCCTATACTTACATTCATGTATGTAATATTTTATATTAACTCTTATTTACAATATTTTTGAGGCGCAACACTAGGGAGTAGGGAGGGGGGATTCGGTATCGGTAATACCGATTTACCGTCGGTATTTACCGATACCGTTTTCGGTAAACCGACTCCCCCAACTTCCCGCTCGGCTACCGATACCGCCCCAACGTAGATGTCTGTGCAGTTGTCTGAGCTCTGAGATCGTCCCTCGTTTCTTTGACGCCACCGCGTCTCTGCTTTTCTCGGTCGCCGCTCGTACTGGATTTTCCCGAAGCCAGCGTTTCCTTCATGTCCAACTTCCGTCCGCATCACTGTGGTCATCCTCCAAATGTTTCTTCGTTTGTGCTTACCGGCGCTGAAATGTCTCGGAGAAGGAATGAAGGACCGTGATTTCTGGGTTTCTCCAACTCCAATCACACCTGCTTTCTCATTTTGAGAAGAGAAGGAATCGAAGAATTCACCCTCTCTGTTAACCCTTCTGACAGAGAAATTGGCCTGACGAAGCACTCTGCAACAACCGCTTGTTAGTCTCGTCTGCAGGTCAGGATAATACCACTACTCGCATCTTCTCCATCCTTTAGTCATACAAATTAGGGGTATCAATTGAAGAACCTTTGTCTCAGAACTAAATCCATGGTCCTGTTCTTGTTTTCTCGTTCGCTTTCATTGTCAATCTCTCCCCGGATTTCCAAAATCTCTAATCTAAGACTTCTCTCTTCACTGGCTGACAAGCTCTACACTCACTTGCATAACAACCCCAAGAATCCGGAAAGAGCTCTGAGTTTAGTCAAGCCTAAACTTGATGCTTCGTGTATCAATGAAGTTTTGCAGAGGTGCTCCCAGAACGAATCTCAGCTGGGTCTTAGATTTTTCGTTTGGGCTGGCTGTCAGTCAAATAATAGACACAGTCCTTACATGTACGATAGGGTTTGTCAGTTGTTGAAGGTCAGGGAAAATCCGCAAGTTGTGTTGGATTTAATCGAGGCTTATAAGGCAGAGAAATGCGCCGTTAATGTCAAGATGTTTAAAGTAGTACTTCATTTGTGCAGAGAGGCTAAGCTTGTCAATGAGGCTCTTTCTGTGTTGAGGAAAATGTCTGTGTTTGGTATACGTGCGGACACCAATGCATATAATTTAGTTATTAGCTTGTTATGTGAGAATGGTGACTTGGTTATGGCTGACAAGTTAATGGGAGAGATGGGGTTGATTGACCTTTATCCTGACATGATCACTTATGTATCAATGATTAAAGGTTTTGTTCGTATTGGTAAACTGGCAGAAGCTACTCGTTTGTTGAAGGCGATGAAGAGAACTGGTTCTGCTCCTAATGTTGTGGTGTATTCGACCCTTCTTGATGGGGTTTGTAAACATGGGAGTGTAGAGCAGGCTTTAGAGTTGTTGAGTGAAATGGAGAAAGGTGGGGACTGTAGCCCAAATGTGATCACATATACCTCTTTGATTCAAGGTTTGTGTGAGAAGGGCAAGACAGTTGATGCAGTTTTCATTTTTGATAAAATGGAGGATTCTGGTGTGTCTCCAAATAGGGTGACAGTTAGCACTTTGATCAACGGTCTTTGTGCTGACAATCTTTTGGAGGAGGCTTATAAGTTGATTGATAGGGTTATTGTGGGAAGAAGTGTATCTTTTGGTGAGTGTTACAGCTCTCTTGTTGTATGTCTACTGAGGGCAAAGAAACCTGAGGAGGCAGAGAAGGTCTTCAGGAGCCTTTTAGCTAGTGGAGCAAAACCGGATAGCCTGGCATCCAGTCTTATGATTAGGGAGCTTTGCTCCAAGACAAGGGTGCTTGATGGGTTTCACTTGTGTGGTGAAATTGAAAAGATGGGCTGTTTGGTTACCTTGGACTCTGATATATACTCTATTTTGCTGCTTGGGCTTTGTCAGCAAGGTTATCTTGTGGAAGCTGCAAAACTTGCAAGGTCAATGCTTGGGAAAAAAGTGCGTCTACAACCTACTTACGTTGGTGAAATAATTGAGCATATGAAGAAGTTTGAGGACAAGGAGCTGGTTGGACAATTCGGCTTGTAGATTCGATAAGAGCCAAGGTAATGCTGCATGCTTTTCTATGCTGCGCTTGTAAATTTTGTTTTGACTATTAAAAGTTTTGGGGAACCCTGGTTCGATGTTTCGTAATGCAAGAATTGGGAAGGCTTTCTGAAAGTTTCAACTATGCTTGTTTGAGTGTCTGACTGCCAAATCAATTAAGCCTTTGATCTGGTAGGAGGTGGATTTGATTTTCTTGCTCTGATATTTGTTCTTTTGCTTGACAGCTCTGTTATCAAGTAGCACAGAGTTGGAACTGTATGCCTTTTGTTTATTTTTTTTGCTTTGAATTTGACTCTCTTTGCTATTGTCTTTTGATGATGACTTATCCGGATACCTGTGCTTCTTTCAGTACTTAGATACATGGTAAACATGGAGATTATTATGTTTCCTGAAAACCCTTTGCTACACAAATCATACGGGGTAATGTTAGTATATTGTACAA